AATTACGGACAAGACCCAACAGTACCCATGACCCCGAATCCCAACAACCCAGTGCCACGAGCGCAACAGTTCGCCGAAATATTACAAGCAGCACGGACCCGGGCGGCGGACGCAATTAAAAAATCGAACATCATCGCTAAACGCAACGCCGACCGCCGACCGCCACCGCCGACCTGTCACTTACCGCCCGACGACCTAGTCTTACTCGACACCCATAACCTCCGCCTACCCATTACTCCAAAACTCCGCCCTCGATATTGTGGGCCATTCCGCATCAGCCACATGATTACACCCGTCACCGCCCATCTCCTCCTCCCTGCTGACTGGTACGTCAGCCCGTCCTTCCACGTCAGCCTGCTCCGCCCCTACGTACCATCCACCAGCCAACTGCCCCGCAACCGCCCAGCCAGCATGACACGACCGCCGACCGAGCCAATCATCACACCCGAAGAGATTTTGAGCCACCGAGTTCGTGACCCATGAGGAGCTCGAAGGATCGAATTCCTGATCCGCTAGAGAGACCGTACACCCACCGAAGACAACTGGGTTCCCCTGGAAAGAATCGACAACCACCCCGTCCTCACCGAGTATCCGCGCAGCCGAAATTTTCGGGATGTACACGCACTTTCATAAAAGAGGGCCTCCTTAAGGGGGGGGGGGAAGTGTAAGGAAAATTCCTTTTCCTTACTTCGCGTCCCTGCTCAGCGCGTACACCACTGTAGCACCACAGTCAACACCAAGACTAGCGGCGTGACAACAGTGGCCAGGAGACGCGTGACAGTAGGACTAGCAGCACGAAGGGAGTCAGACTCCGGGTCAGAAGGGGCAGGAAGAGAGGACGCAGGAGGAGACGGCAGAGGGACACGCTGTGGAGCAGTGGAAGGGCGCAGAGCCATCCGGTGCATGCCAGGGACAGGAGGAGGACGCTGACGCGAACCACGACGACTAGTGCTAGCAGCACGAACAGGCGACGCAGGATGAGACGCAGGCTTACGACGCTCAGGAGGACCTCCGGTCGGACCAGTGTAAGGAGAAGGAGCAGGCAGTGGGGAGGCGGGCTGTAACTGTGACTGCGACTGGATAGGCGGTGGACACCCTAAGGAAGGAGCAGGACCAGTAGAAGGCGGAAGACCAAGAACCTGCTGAAGGAGCGGAACGTAGTACGGCCGCGGCCGCGCAGCGCCTCCAGAACCAGCAGGGACAGAACCAGCACCCCCAGTGGCAGCTCCAACTCCAGCAGTACCACCAGCTCCATCAGCACCTCCAGCAGCACCAGAAGCGCCAACTCCAGCACCCACAGGAGCACCGGCTCCAGCAGCACCTCCAGCTCCAGCACCTCCAGCAGCTCCAGCTCCAGCAGGACCATCAGAAGCTCCAGCAGCGCCAGCAGCTCCAGCTCCAGTGCCTCTAGCAGCACCTGCGGGACCCGTGGCCCCAGAACCACCAGCAACTGACTCGTCAAATGTGACGCCCTGAGAGGACAGAACACGGCGCGAGGTGGGGTGGTAAAACTGCCAACCAGGCGCGTCAGGGGGGAAGCCAAGGAAGACGCAGGAAACATCACGGGAGGACAGCTTGTCCGCTGACAAGTCGCGGACGAAAGCTCGAGATCCCCAGACACGGAACGCAGATGCATCGCCCACCTTCCCCGTCCACCACAAAGTAGGTGTGGTCTCCGGCATGGAGACCCGGGGCTGGAGGTTCAGCTGATGCGCCGCGTACTGAACCGCGAACGGCCACAGAAAATGGGGAGCAGCCGCATGGATCATGGACGTACGAGCGGCATCTATGACCATGCCAATGCGGCGCTCAGCAATCCCATTTTGCTGCGGAGAGGCCGGAAGCGTGAACGTCTAGCGGATGCCCTCCGCACGACAGAAGGCTCGCAGAAGGTCGGAGGAAAACTTTCCACCTCTGTCGGAGTGCAGACGCAGAACAGGAAGGTCCGAGCCGAAACTCTCGCTGAGCTGACGACGGGCAGCGAGGATCCAGTCGATCAGCACCTCAGTGACCTCACCCTTGCTGCACAAGGGGAAGACTGTGGTGTAACGCGAGTAGTCGTCAACGACCAGCAGAAAGTAGCGCTCGTGACCCTGGTCACGGACGCGGGCTGGGCCCCACACGTCCATGTGAAGCGTCTGCAGGGGAGCCTCCGTCGGAGGGAACTCGGAGGAGTGAGGAGCGGCGCGCTGCCGCCCCTCGATGCAAGGAACGCAGGTAGGGGCAGGCCCCGGGGGAAGGGGAGGGAGAGACCGGGGAAGACCAGTGACAAGGACACGGGAGGCCGTGCCTCGGAGACGAGGCAGGGAGGGGTGACCAAGGCGGTGGTGCCAAAGGAGAGTCCGGTGAGACAGGAGGCGACTACACGTTCGGCACGCGACTACAGTTCAGTTCTTCGTACCATGTTCGGCACGCGACTACAGTTCAGTTCTTCGTACCACCCCAAAACCGACGGACAGACAGAAAGAACAAATCAGACCATGGGAGCAACTCATCCGAGCCACATGCGACGACCCAACCACCTAGGAACAACAGCTGCCACTCATCGAGTTCGCGTACAACAACTCGCCTTCCGCCACGACCCAACAGTCACCATTTTACATGAATTACGGACAAGACCCAACAGTACCCATGACCCCGAATCCCAACAACCCAGTGCCACGAGCACAACAGTTCGACGAAATATTACAAGCAGCACGGACCCGAGCGGTGGACGCAATTAAAAAATCGAACATCAGTCGCTAAACGCAACGCCGACCGCCACCGCCGACCTGTCACTTACCGCCCGACGACCTAGTCTTACTCGACACCCATAACCTCCGCCTACCCATTACTCCAAAACTCCGCCCTCGATATTGTGGGCCATTCCGCATCAGCCACATGATTACATCCGTCACCGCCCATCTCCTCCTCCCTGCTGACTGGTACGTCAGCCCGTCCTTCCACGTCAGCCTGCTCCGCCCCTACGTACCATCCACCAGCCAACTGCCCCGCAACCGCCCAGCCAGCATGACACGACCGCCGACCGAGCCAATCATCACACCCGAAGAGATTTTGAGCCACCGAGTTTGTGACCCACGAGGAGCTCAAAGGATCGAATTCCTGATCCGCTAGAGAGACCGTACACCCACCGAAGACAACTGGGTTCCCCTGGACAAAATCGACAACCACCCCGTCCTCACCGAGTATCTGCGCAGCCGAAATTTTCGGGATGTACACGCACTTTCATAAAAGAGGGCCTCCTTAAGGGGGGGGGGGGTAGTGTAAGGAAAATTCCTTTTCCTTACTTCGCGTCCCTGCTCAGCGCGTACACCACTGTAGTACCACAGTCAGCACCGTTACCACCCGCAACCCTCGCATCGACAATCCTCCTGCCACCTTCGCACGTCGCACCCCGACCTTACGGCTCGGCCGGTAACCCGCGCTCCGGGCCTCCGCCTCGACATTTTCCCAACCTCAGTTCCAGGCCCGTCGCGCGTCAACCACAGTTCATTACCGTTACCACTGTAGATTCGCTATATATTCTTCGCTCATGCCTTCGCTCATTGTACTCTTGCTTCGATAGTGCAATTCTCGTTCGATCACTTAATTGCACTCGTAACAGTGGTTCACTTCGGAACTCGTCTGATGGCTGAAAAACGAAAAACACATACCGTAACTTATAACTTTCCAAAACAATGCAAAAAAAACTTGAGTAATCAAGTTGGACCCAACTAGAACGAGGGGGTCACCATTTTAGCTACGGGCTTTAATAATGGTCGGAGATACACCGACAATGGAAGTTGACGATACGCTGAAATTAACATGGTAATGAACTTGAAGGTAACACGGCCTTGGGAATGCATGGCTGAGCCTGATGCTTGTTGCCTGATAACTGGAGAGACCGAGGTCAGCATAAATTACCAGACTTCCATTTCGAATGTTAAAGACGATACTGTTAAGAAGATCAGAACTCGGCGTGCATTGTAGCGAGGACGTTGACTTGTTCAAGCTCGTCAGAATCCATGGCCGCCAGATGGCGGAAAAGGCGGAGAGCATTGCAGGCAAGGCTTTCGTGGTGTGTGATGGACCCGATAGAGCTGTTACAATCCTCGCCGTGGTGTGATCCTTCAGAATCCGGTGTGTTTTATGGAGTGCTTGTAATGATGTATTGAGCCCATATGTAAGGCGTTTTTTCAGTTTTACACATCTGATTCCACCGCGTACAACACCGTTCATGGGCTAAACTTTTCTTTGCCAACATTCCATTCCTCTTCACTTCTCCACGAACCAAGCCACTCCAACGCGTTCCTCCTCACAACACTCCCATTTGTGCGGGGTGAACTTGGGTCCGAGGGGTGGGAACACCCCCAGACCATCCCATCCGAACCGAGCCAGGGTCCGGACGTCAGTATGGTTACGGGTTTCGCAAATGCTCGTGAGAGGACTGGCAGAATTTTGGCGATGTCGCCATCATCCGGACCTTAGATAGTGACATGACAATGAATGGGCCCTTACTGTGAGGTGTCTGACTTTTCCTCCAATAAATCCTTGTGACGCGATTCTTCATCCCAGTCGTTTTTGCTTTCGCACACAGCCAGGAAACGCCCAATCGAAGCCCACGATGGCGCCTAAAGCAACGCGTTCCCTGCAGCAGCTCCTGTCGCAGCGGTCGCACATGGCCAAGGCTTTGCCGCGCCCGTCGCGGGCTGCGTCCCGCCACAGAGGTCCCTCCAGCCTCGCACAGGAGCTCCGTGGAGCGGATGATGCGCCGCACGCTAGTAGGCTCGCTGCGATGAGCATTTAAGCATCCGTGCCCGATCGTTCTCGTCACCTCTTCTGCTTTACACCAGTTAGCACCAATCACTCCTCTAGCACCTCTTTCTCTCGGGTTGCTCCGCTGCACACTCCTGCTCTACTCCGATCGTTCTCGTCACCTCTTTCTCTCGGGTTGCTCCGCTGCACACTCCTGCTCCACTCCTGCTCTCGGATTGCTCGTGGCGATCAAGGTCGAAGAGCGAATGGCGTCCGCCGGAATCAGCAGCATGGGGAATGGCAAGGCCGTGCGTGCGCTGCTCGCCATCGTCGCCGTCATCGCCGGTACGCTCCGTCATTCGCTCCGCTCTCTCGCCCCGCGCTCTCATGCGCCATCGTGCTCACGCCGTCATGCGTTCAATGCACCACTCGACAGCGCGCACACGCGATGGATGCCCAACGAACTCGCTCCTTCGTCCGTGCCCCTCCCATGCCACATGCCGCTCCCTTGCAGCGTGTCTCCCCCAGCCGTCGCAAGCAGCAGCAGCAGCGAGCGTGTCGGTCCCAGTGCCGATAGGCACGCCGATGACAATCAACGGGCGCACATTCAAATTCTCGCCGCGCCGCTGTGTCAACCTTCCCGCCATGTCGCCGTCTCAGAAGGCGCGGGTGGTGGTGCCGTGGCAGCAGGCGAGCATGTCTGGCAAGGCTATGTGCCGCGCGATCTGGTTCTTCCAGGATCCCGCGTGCAAAGGACAGACGTTGGACGTTTTCGTGAATGGCCAACAGAGGTGCGCCTTCCATTCTTGCTCGCCTTGCTTCCATGCTCCTATGCTCTTGATGCCGCTCGTTTGCTCCCCCACCTGATCAACGATCGTTGCACTCGTGGCGCCCTCCCTCCCCCTGTGTGCAGTGAGAAGCGCATCTCCGGTGCAGCAAGGTCCGCCCTCTGCCTCGTAGGTGCGTGCGTCCCCTCTTGCCCTCTCTCGCGCCCGCCTCTCGCGAGAAGCCGCCCTCTCTCTCTCTCTCGCTGGCCTCGCGCTCTCACTGCACAGTCCAGTTCGCTGCGCTGCAGAGCGCACGACGCGAGTGGGTGGCAGGCTGCCGCGCCTCATCTCTGCATTCGCCTTCCCCCTTCTTCCCCCCTTCCCCGTTTCCCCCTTTCCCCCGGTCCGCACGGCGCTGTGCGGCAGACAACATGTGTCGGTATGCGCGCTGCCCTGCCGGCTCTGACACATGCACCCCACCCACGGACGACCGCACGGCAGTGACGTGCGCGTGCAAGAAAGGCTACAGCGCGGTCAACAACAAATGCCAGCCTCCCAGTGAGCTTCGTATGGTTTCGCTCCGCTCAGCATGGTTCTCGTTGCCGCAACTCTCTCCTCCTCCGCCCTCCCTCGCTCGCTGCTCTGCTCTCTCTGAATGCTTCCTTGTCCGGATGGACCCATGTGCTCACCTGGCCTCCCTCTCTCTCTCTCCTTGCCTCTGCTGCAGAACCCTCGTGCCTCACTGCAGGCTGCCCTGCCAACTCCGAGTGTGCCAAACGCACCAGTGGGCACTGGAATGGAGTTGCAAGTGTAAGGCGGGGCTACAATGCAGTCGGTGCCACCTGTGTGCCAGCAGCAAAAACCTGGCACCACCACAACCCCGTTCCGGCACCACCCACAACCCCGGCCGGCACCACACAAACCCGTCCGGCACCACCACAACCCCGTCCGTCACCACCACAACCCCGTCCGGCACCTCCACAACCCCGTCCGGCAACCACCTCAACCCCCGTCCGCCACCACCACAGCTTCGTCCACCACAACACCTTCAAGCGACGCTTCAGAATCTTCCAGCAACATGCCAGAATCTTCAAGCTACATTTCAGATTCTTCCAGCAACGTTTCCTCAGGACCTTCCAACTACGTGTCAGAAATTCCTCCTAGCTACGTTTCAGACTCTTCCAGCAACGCGTCAGATTCTCCTATCTACACGTCAGAATCTCCCAACTAAACTCCAGAACCTTCCAGCGGTGGCAACTCCGTACCATCCTATTCCTCTACTTGCGCCAAGCCAAATCAGTCGCCACATCTGAGAAGAGTTGAGGGGACGTATTGCGTAGGGACAGGGATTGGTTGCTGTTGCTGTGCTTCTCAGACAGGTTGGAGAGTTAGTGGTGAACTGTTCTCGGGAAGGTCGTTGAGCAGGTGCCAGGCAGGATAGCTGGCAAGTTCTCAAGAAGAATAGAAGCAACCAATCTGGTATCATAGCAGCACTGCGTGTTATCAGACCCTCCCTGTCCGGGCTGGTTAGATTTCTCCTGTTCGCACCCCCACTTCCCTCCCTTGTTTTCTCTTTCTAGGTTTGTTGTAATCTTGTTTTACCCATCTAAATATTTGTTTCTGGATCTTGTTGCAATTCTACACATGTGGTTTCAAATCATAGAGATGACCCTGCTTTTGACCTTGTTTCGGTGGGCTTCCACAATTCACTCTAGTTTTCACTACTGTCAGCACCATCACTTAGGAGCGTGATCAGCCATTTTCAATTTGCTGTTCGTAGCTATACCAGATTATATCATTACACAACATTCTAACCTTGTTTGTATTTGAACCAATAAGCGATCTTGGCGATATTTTGGCGAAGTCACCATTAGTGGCTGCATGCAAGGGAATCACCAGCAATTGTTGTTGTCAGATTCTTGCGATAGAGACTGTCCATATCGGAGACATTCGATTGCCTCGCGTCGCGTTCACTTGTGTTTGTGTGTCCGCGCCCTCAGAACAGAACGCTTGTCTGGCATCACATCGGAATTATTGTTGTGAATGGGGTCTTACAAGATCCGAAGTCAGCGGGAATGGGCCCTTTCCGTCCTGGTGTCCACAATAATTTTGCCGAGCACGACCCTCGTTCCACTCCCCCATTTTTTAGCAAACATGTGCTGACATTGAATGTGGATCCTAAGTGTTGCGGAGAGACCTAACATTTTCGACTTCAATAATTATGTCCAATAAATCCATTTCCATTTCTGTTTTCGCCAGCGTTGTCACCTTCGCACACACCTCAGGAAACGCTTATTCCAAGGCGCGCTGGCGACTAAAGAAACGCGTTCCCTGCAGCGACTCCTGTCGCAGCGGTCGCACATGGCCAAGGCCTTGCCGCGCCCGTCGGGAGCTGCTTCCCATCACAGAGGCCCCTCGTCGCGCAGAAGCTACG